AAAAAAAAAAAAAAAAAAAAAAAAAAAAAAAACATAAACAAACAAAAAAAATTGAAACAAGTTATTCGGATATTAATACAAAAAGTTTTCGATTGAGTAAAATATATAAAGAAAATTATAATTACCATAGCAGCAACACAGAAAAAAACAATAAGCACATATCAAAACTAAAAAAAAAAAAAAAAAAATTGAATTAAGAACAAAATTAAAAAAAAAAATTATATTCTTCAAAAGATAACTCAAAGTTACGTATTCTATAAACCAAAAACCAAATCAAAGTTGACCTCATCAAAACCCAAATACCACACATAACAGTGAATATAATAAAAATAAATAAACAATCATTATAATATGTATACACATGTATGTATAATTAGGTCTAAGAGAGGAAATTTAATTATATTTTGTAGATTTTTAGCAAAGTAGCCAAACTGTCACGATATACACATTGTATATATATGTATCTGCTATATATATATGTATATATACAAACCTACTGTAACCACGCATACATACGTTCATTGACGATCATCTCATTTGTAGGCGAGATGCTGAATCCGTAGTTGTATTCAAATTGAAATGTTCAAGCAACAAACAAGAAATGGCAAAGCTTTAAGATACTAGAACTGTTGGACGGAAATCCTTTAGAAATGGATAAGTGTAAGAATTGTTTCAGTATTTAGCGAAAAGTTGTTGGCTCATCTGCTACATGTATTCGATAGTGTAGTACGCACATCCCATAAATTGCTCAGCAGGCCACATATTAGCAGTTAGTGACTAAATCTATAGTAAAATCCAAAACCCTCAAGCTTATTAAAGGAATAAATTAAAAAAATAAAAAGAAAACCAAATAAATTACAATTTTAAATACCTAAAATTTGAATGAAATGCAAAGGCGTATACACAGCTGCTATACATTCAAAATATATTTAATTGTGAAGTTTAACAAGAAGTAACTTAGTTGTAAAGCCAAGTGTTTACCTTTAAAGTATTTCTCCGCATTTAAGGATGAAGAAAAACTAACAAAACTTAACAAAATTAATGAATAACAGCAACAAAAACAACCAAATCTTCTAAATTATAGCACCAAATGCAAAGACCTCTCAATTGTGTTAAAACAAAAAGCCCAACAAAAAATTTACAAAACATACTTCAAAAAAAGGTTTTTAAAAATAGAAATTCTCCACAAGAAGTAGAACAGAAAATTTGGATTGTGAACAGCATCGGGGAAGGAGAAACATACTAAGGATAGGCTTAACAAATGGAGAGCTACATGAATTATTACAACAAACAGAAACAACAAATTACATATATGTACATATATTTCTATATATGTATGTATAAAAAAATAAAAACAAGAAAAAAACAAAAACAAAAGAGCAATTACCCATAAAAATACCCATATATATACTATATATATGAATATATACATACTTTAATAATATAAAGTATGAATACCTATTATAATGTATTTGAAAGCAAACCATTGTGAATTAGTATTAAAGCAACCAAACAACAGACAAGAAAGGCGGTAAATAAAGATTGTAAACGAAATCAATAAAAATGTATAGAAATCATGTTTTTGCTATACTGGTTGATATCCGGACAGCACGAGTTCCATTTTTTTACAGCTACAAGTATCTTCAATCTACTATTTTATATTATGTCGCGTCGCATGCAAGATTTACAAATTTCTTTTTCTGATTATACAGTAAAAATAGTCTATTTATCCATGCCCGTTACAACTAACACAAAAAGAGAAAAATCGATGTCTAAACAATTTAGTTACTGTTAACTATATAAAGAATGCGCTTCTTCTCTTGCTACAGTTGGCTAGAATAGCAAAATTTTGTTACTGCAGAGTTCGTCTTTATACTTACCACAGAAACTACAATGTTGCTCCTTGCTGACCAATGGCAAATGTGGAATGACAAATCGAAAACAAGTTTCCCTTTATATTAAATGTACGCAATTTAAAAATACACTGGGTATTTATTTGGCTTAATCTTCATTTGACTTATGGCTTATGATACCTGAAACCATAAACCAACAATTTGGTCTCTTTTGTATCTTACTATAAAATAAGTATTGGCATTGTGAATTCTATTGTTTTTCGTCATGCCATTGGTTACCTAATAATAGTAGTTTCCACACTCCCATTCTACTTTCTTTAATACATAGACATGGTATATATGGATACTATTAAACTTATAGCATTTCTGAAAATCTGCATTTCAAATGCTAATTGCTGAATTCAAAAGAATTTTTAACTGACTTTTGCTATATCTCGTCATGGTCAAGAAAGCTTCAATACGAATAGATGAGGTTCTCATTCAAATATTAAAATTGATATTTTTATATATAGCAACCTTTTTTGCAATGTTTAATCAACAGAGAATTTAGTTTTCACCAAATTAATTAAAATATGCTCCGTTATAATAACACAAAATAGAAAATCTAATTGTCGGTTTATTTATTTTCATACATTTATAATTGATTTCAGTTTTAGTTATAGATACATTTTGTTTTACATTTACTTTTACTTTATTATTAAATAATTAGTAACATAATTTGGTTTACTGCGACTTAAACATTAATCATCATTTAAATGTATACATAATCACTTTATTTTCCATTCACTTTGCTTCACGTTTGTGTAATTTAACAAATCGTACAAACAAATACATAGAGGGAGACTGCGAAAGTTAAGTTATTACACTTTATATATCACGCATGGGGGATGGGGTTTTGTGTTGTTGGTAGAACTTGAAAAGAAATAACAAAATCTTTTGGGAAAACAATATCAAAACCTTTTTAGTAAATAGTCATACAAAATAAGTGCAAATAATTTAAGAAAATTAATTTTGTAACTGAAAAATTCGTCGCTTTCTAGGAGAGTTTCA